GTAAGTCGTCCTACAGTAAATCTGCTTTTAGACACTCTCTCTGTGGAGATTTTTGGGAATGCGGCACACAAAGCGGGCCGTAGTGGAGGCCTCTTTAATCCGCAATGCAGGATCTCCCTCTGCTTTTCCCAGAGCCGCCATTCAGAGGGCCGAGCGGCTCCTCCATGCAGCACAAAAGCTCTCCTGTGTGCCTCTGTGTGTCCCATTGTTGAGCATCCATCATCTGACGGCTCGCACATGCCTCTGTCTCATGATGTCATCTCTGTGTGGCCCCTTATTCACCCCCAATACCTTTAATCGGCCCTCGGTGACCCCCATTGCTGGACAGGAGCAGGTGGTTGTGCTCATTATTTTCTGTTTTAAAACATACAGTTGCGGTGCTGGATGGTGATTGGTTCGTGGAGGCAAGATTAAGAATGGGGGGTATTGGAGGAGTTTTTAGGCTCTTTTTAATGAATTGTAAAAATGAATGTGCTGCAAATGCAGAGGCAGCTGTAATGGGGGAGTTTTGGTTCATTGAGACTTTTCAGAAGGACTTTTATTCTATGAATGTATGATATATTTCAAAGTGAAACAATTAGTTAGATGTAATAATATAATTACTTCTGTCATTGTTATCTTTATAAAATAGGATCTGAATATATTCAATTATTACAACGTATTACTTTGTTCTTTATAAAAAAAACTTAATTTAGTCAAAACTTAGTAATTAATTTAATTTAGTTTACATATACAAGTATAGATTTTGTGTGTTGGTTGATTTCTAAATCTCTTTGGTCAACATTTGTTGTTTTTAAATGGTCTATATAAATAAAGCAAACAAACAAACTTTGTAAAATATATCTGTAAATTAAGTTTTCTTAGAATTTTCATTAATTTTTGGTTTTGACTTTTAATTTGTTTTTGTTTTTTCCAACAACTGTTGATGTTGATTAATTTGGAAAAAGTGACTTATTGGCCTTTTTAATAGTTTGAAATAAGACTAGTACTTATCGATACTGGAATTTTAAAAACGTCCATTTCCTGCTAAAATTTGAGCGCTGTTGATTGTGTTCTTAAATTATGCTGATTTGCCATTGTGTTCACATGCTCAACAGAAACGACTGTAATTGGCCATGAAGGTCATCAGTTCACTGAACTCACTGCTGTTTATTGAGTGTAACTACTGGAGCATTTTAAAGCCGCAACTCATGAGCGGATTGCTTGTGTCAACTTTTAGACAAACTAGCTTATCGACATAACCTTGAAACACTCCAGTGTCCCTGTATCTTTGTTACACAGTAAATAGCGGTGAGTTTAACCCAAGTTTAAAATTATATATTGTCTGGGTTGGTGTTAAATACTGGTAAAAAAAAAACACCAGTATTATTTTGCATACTTTATTCTCTATTTCTAAAATAGTATATAGTATTGTATATAGTACAATTATATAGTATTGTTTCAAACTAATAGCATAGCAATTTAAGTTTCTCTGTTAAACTGTACATTTGAATTTTCAACATCAAAAGTCTACAGAGCAGAGATAAAAGTCACATAATGCAATGAATAATCATAAATAAATGGGGGGAAAAAAAGGTAAATCATGGAATACAGAATTAATTAATTAAGGTATGTTTTTACAGTGTACAGTTGAGGTTAAAATGATTAATTCTTTTAATTTTTCAACTATTTCCTAAATGATGTTTAACAGAGCAAGACATTTTTCACAGTATTTCCTAAAATATTTTTTTTTCTTCTGGAGAAAGTCTTATTTGTTTTGTTTCAGCTAGAATAAAAGCAGTTTTTAACTAATAAGTCATTATTGTGGCTAAAAGGTTTGTGCTTCGACATTGGATGTAATCTTCACCCCCTTAATTTCAAATGTGGATGGACATGATTTCGGTAATACAGATAGAAAGACTGAGATATTTCTATTGACTCCTTCTATTGAAAAATTCTTTAGCGTCTGGGGTTTATTTCTTAAATATCTGGATGAACAAACCAGCCACTCAACCTCTGTGGATTCTTCAGAGACTTCATTTGTTTATTGAATTTATTTATTTGATTTCTTTCTTTATTTTATTTTCCCACCCGCTAAACTATGTTGTCATTGTTGTTTTGCTCATCATATATTCAAAAGGCGGCAACACTAAAGCTCCAAAAATGCAAATTTATTAAATTAAAAAGGCTCACACAAAACGTGTAAAGTTTCGAGCACATGGCTTTTCATCAGACAATGTTCATCACAGTAAGGTCCTCTCCTATTTATACACTTCTGGATCACATGATCTCCTACTATCTCACAACAAGAAAAAACAAGAAAAATATACATTTATGAATTATTTAACTTAGATATTCAAAGCGAAAATACAAAAACAATCCATCACAAATTATAGACCTTTTTCTAGGCTGCTGGATAAAGGGAGCCATAGCTACCAGCGTCTTCTGGTAGAATGTTTAGAACTTCCGTTTACAGTGTTTACAATAGGTCATTTGCAATCCCGAAAATGGGTTTCAATAGTGTTTTGAGTGGATTACGGAGTGTTTTTGTGACACTCAACTTGTGGTGTTAAAGGTGTGTGTTAAAGCCGTTATATCTGTCAGATGTGGTTCAAACGCGAGAGAAAAACAGTGTGTGTGTTTCCCCGGCCTTTCAGCTGATAGCTCAGCGGCTCTTGTAGCACACACACAAACAAACACACGCACACACAATACTTCACTGCATTATAGAGCAAACCAGATTACTGGCATGAAACTTAACAGGTGTGCAAGTCATGCAATTTACAAAAATGACCAATAAAAGACCGTGACTGATACTGTGCTGGCTGATTTGCGTGTTGATTCTAATCGGGAGCCGTTTATGTTAGTGGGACAGTACAGGCTACGTGTGTGTGTGTCAAACATTTTGGTGAAGTACATGTACTATTATATAAAAGCTGTTCAAATGTGACTGTTTATACACATCAGCTGCCAACCGGAAGTTCTTGGCATTGTCCTTGCGCATACACGCAAAGCATAATGGGTAATTTTGCGTTCTAAGAAAAAGGTCTATTCAAAACCAAGTATAACATGTAAATAGAACAAAATAATACAACAAAATATAGCCAAAAAACCCAAACACCTAATTAAACAATTATTTTAAAAAATGACCAATGTCCAACTCCTCATTTAAACCTTTTGGAGATGACATCTAGAGTGCAAATCCAAAAGGCTCTAAGTTGAAACAGGAATTTGTTAAGATCTGTGTCTATGTTTTTTTAGGTTGAAAAATCCAATAAAATGTAATTATTAAAAAAAGGTCAACATTATTAGCCCCCTTAAACAAAATCTTTTTTTTTCCATTGTCTACAGAACAAACCATCACAATACAATGACTTGCCTAGTTACAGGCTAGTTAAGCATTTATATTGCACTTTAAGCTGAATACTGATACAAAGAAAATGATTATCGGTTAATAAATCGGTTATTAAAACTATCATGTTTATTATTATGTTGAAAAAAAAATCTTCTTTTCATTAAACAGTAATTGGGGGAAAAATGTAGAGGGGGCTAATAATTCTGACTTCATCTGTATATGCAGGTCTAAATTTGGGCTTGATAGATTAATAGAATACAATAGAATAATTTTTAATCTAGTGATTTACTTTATTGGGTAGGTTGTTGTGCGATCACACAAGGATTTAAGCATGCAAAATAATGCATTGAGTGCATGAGTAAGGTCAGCCTGTGATTTTTTTTTTTTTTTTTAATTGTCTAAAAAATTCATTGAAACAAACTATTCAAAAGAACTGATCAACTGCTAAAATAATTCAGATTTTGTTTTCAATATGTACTATGCCTGCTCCATTGGCACATATATTGCACATTTGAATGACTGAGGGAGTAAAAGTGTTTGATGCATTGGCGTGATTGTACCGTGTTAACAGCGAGTAGGAGGGAAGGTAATTGCCAACTCCCATCGACGACCCACGCACTTCCTAACCTTTCTCTTTCATTCAGATTTTACCTCCGTCAGCCTCCTCACGCAACCTCCGTCTCTCAAATGCAGGCTTTCTCAGAACATGCTCTTTTTTTTTTCATCTGCAGTCACTGTTTTACTAAATTTAGAGCCTCTCCAGGAATCAGAAGCAGGGCCGAATGATTTTAGGGAACAATGTAATTTTCATATTCATTCATTCATTCATTTAATTATTTTCTTTTTGGCTCAGTCCCTTTATTTTTCAGGGGTAGTCAGAGAGGAATAAACCGCCAATTTATCCAGCAGATGTTTTTACGCAGCGGATGTAAAAACAACTTAATCCGACTAAAGTCATCACTGATCTAAACAGAAATGGAGTTAAGACATGTGGAGTTTATATTCATATATTAGTGGCATTATTGAAGTAAACACCGTGATCAAACTCTTACCGTCATGTAGGACTTTTCACCATATTTTCCGACAAGATCCACACACGCGGCTGTCAGTAAAGGACCGCACACACACACACTTTCCATTTGGTTTGCGTTATTAAATTCCATAACACTCTCACCAGTCCTTACTTCTTATTTGTGTCTATTACCCCAGTTTGTCATGGGTGCACATATGAAATAGAGTGATACATGAGTGATAGTAAAACTGTCGAACGGCAGTTAAAGTCACCTAAAATTACAGGAAACTCTTACATGAAAGCACTTCACGTCAACACCTTAATTATATTATTGTCTATTAAGGCAAATAAGTAGATTACAGATGTCCATGTAAGCGTAGTTAGTAGTGTCTTCGAATTAAGTGAAAGATCCAGAAGGGCATCCTGCTCATTTGATTCAGAAGGGCACTTTTTTGTCAGACGGCTACCGGTCGGTATACACCTGCGCTAAAATATCACAGTGAAAGCCATCATAGCTTGCGTAGGATAGACCCAGCTTCCAACCCAACTTTGAGAATAGATTAACGGCGATATTTTTTTTTATCGCCTGATAAAATTCTTGCATTAATTCAGCATGTTAACGCCGATAACGGCCCACCACTTATTATTGCGTAA